ATATACCTTGGTGAAAACTTGTCCCCACCATGGATGTTGGTAGCAAAACACATGCATCTAATGGTTGTCATGTGTTGTAAGGAAGGTACTTTATCATATAATACTTAAAAAGGTGATTTTCCTGCAGAGGCAATCCATTGATCACATAAATAACATTTAGGACACACTCATTCCAAAACTTCAAGGGTAAGAATCCATGGAATCTAATGGCTATAGAAACTTCCATGATGTTCATGTGTTTTCTCACCACCAACCCATTCTTTTGAGGTATGTGTACACATGAGCTTTGATGGATAATATAAGAAGAAGTAAACAATTACGTACAACTAGAATTATAAAACTCTGTGTCATTATAACTTCTAAAATTCTTCACAGTTTTATTTAATTGAGTTTTTACTAAGGCAAAATATTGCCTCAATACAACAATGACATCATTCTTCACACCCAAGTCATGCTTCTACGATCATCAACTAGAGTGGGTAAAAATCTGCAACTTGTTAGCATGATTGGACAGATTCTAAATGTCTGTACATATCTATGTTATAACTCTAAATATTTGTGTAATGATGATAGTAGATAGCATAAATTGATGTAGCATATTTGCAAAGATATTACAATTAGGAATAACATATATTTAGGGATATATAGGAGATATTTAGGCATGTAAATCCGAATTCTTCCTATTTAATGGAAGAACTCTCATTTTAAGAGCACCCATTCAGCAAAAATGACATGGTATTAGAGCCTTTTTGTGTGCTTTGATTCTTAGTGTCTTTCATCTATGGTTCCTTTCAGAATTTACTTTTTAAAGTTTTTGTTCTGCTTACTGTGTTTAGTCAACATCTAGTCCTAAGTATCTTGGAATTATAGGCATCTTGGAATCTTAGTCTTGGTTATTCTGGTTATTTTGCATTATTGCATTTCTATCTTCCTTAGCTTGTCAAGAACATGTCGTCATATCAGTTTGAGTTCTTTCATGTTCGTTTCACAGGAAAAAATCACTCTACCTGGGAATTTCAATTCCAACTATTTGTCACAAGAAAAGAATTATGGGGACATATAGATGGAAGCGATCCTATTCCTACCGATCCTACAAAGCTCGGTCAATGGAAGGTTAAAGATGCTCGGGTGATGACATGGATTTTAGGGTCAATTGATCCTTTTATTGTTCTTAATCTCAGGCCATACAAGACAACAAAGGCCATGTGAGATTATTTACAAAGTTTTTACAACCAAGACCATAGAGCAAGGCGCTTTCCATTAGAGCATTAAATTGCTATGTATTCTCGAGGAGGTCTCTCTGTTCAAGATTATTTTTCTGGATTTCAGAACTTATGTGCTGAATTTATCGATATCGTTTATGCTAAAATACCTTCTGAATCTCTCTCCATTATTCAAGGAGTTCATGAACAAAGCATGCGAAATTAAATTTTTATGAAATTACGATCTGATTTTGAAATGTTTGCTCCAACTTGATGAATCGTGATCCATCTCCCTCGTTGGATGTTTGTTTTAGGGAATTACTTCGTGAATAGCAGTGTCTCTTCACACAAAATGCTTTTTATCAAGGAAATGTTTTCACTATTGCATTTGCAGCTCAAGGGAAAGGAAAGGGCACAGATATGGCTAGAACTCAATGCTACAATTATAAGAAATATGGTCATACTGCTAGAAATTGTTGCAAGAAGTTCTGTAATTATTGTAAACAACAAGGACACATTATCAAAAAGTGTCCCACACGTCCTCACAACCGTAAGGCAGAGGCTTTTTAACTTGGGATAAATGGGTCAACTACAGATAATTCGTCTTTAGTAGGACAAGTTCTTACTCCTGAAATGGTACAACAAATGATCTTTTCAGCATTTTTAGTGTTTGGGCTACAACGTAATGAGGTCATATCTAAATTTGGGCTTGTTGATTCTGGCGCTTCCAATCATATGACAAACTCAACTAATATACTCAAAAACATCTGTGAGTATAATGGTCCAACACAAATTCAGGTTGCCAATGGTAGTAATTTACCCATTACCAAGGTTGGGAATATTACTGGAACTTTCAAGAATGTTTTTGTATCACAAAAGCTCTCCACTAGTCTTATTTCAGTTGGCCAATTGGTAGATAACAATTGTGATGTGAAATTTTCTCGTAATGGTTGTCTTGTGCAGGATCAGGTATTGGGGACGATAATCGCGAAGGGGCCTAATGTTGGAAGATTGTTTCCTATAAACTTTTCTATTCCTCGTGTTCTAGCTTTTGCTTCTACCACTATTAAGAATGAGGTTTGGCATAAACGTCTAGGACATCCAAATTCTAGTGTGTTGTTTCATTTGACCAATTCTAGTTTATTGGGATATAAAAATCAATTTTCAGCTGCTTCCTTTGATTTTTCTACTTGTAAATTAGGCAAAAGTAAAACTCTTCCTTTTCCTAATTTTGGTAGTCGTGCTGCAGAGTGTTTTGATGTCATTCATAGTGATGTTTGGGGCATTTCACCAGTTATTTCTCATGCTCATTTGAAGTATTTTGTGACATTTATAGATGACTATAGTTGATTTACATGGATGTATTTTCTTCGATCTAAATATGAAGTGTTTTCCATATTCAAGAAATTTTTGGCTTACGTTGAGACTCAATTTTCCACATGCATCGAAATATTGAGAACTGATTCTTGTGGAGAATATGTCTCATGAATTCAATAATTTCTTTCTTGAGAAAAGAATTGTATCACAACTCTCTTGCCCATAAATGCCACAACAAAATGGGGTTGCTTAGCGTAAAAATCATTATCTTTTACATGCCACTCATGCATTATTGATTGAGTCCTGTATTCTATCTAAATATTGGGTTGAAGCTTTGTCTACTACTGTCTATTTGATTAATAGACTTCCATCTAAAGTATTAAATCTTGAGTCTCCATATTATCATCTTTTTCACAAGAATCCTAGTTATCATACATTTGGTTGTGTTTGTTTTGTGCACCTGCCTCCTTCTCAATGCAATAAACTCTCTGTTCAGTTTATTAAATGTGCTTTTATGGGCTATAATACTTCACAGAAAGGTTTTATTTGCTATGACTCAAGTTCTAACAAATTTAGTGTTTCCAGAAATGTGAATTTCTTTGAGAATCAATATTTCTTTTCTACTCATATTGAGTCATCTTCTGTTTCACCTCTTCTTCCTACTTTTGAGGATTTGTCATTGTTTTCTAAGAGATTCAAACTAGGATTTGCGTATGAACGATGTCGGCCAACTTTACCCCAACCTGAAATAGATGCGCCATGTGAGACTGCTACACAACCACAATATGAGATTTCTTCAAGCGAAGATTTGAATAATATGCTTAGCAAAAAATAATATTGCAGATTCTTTTGTGACTGTTCAATGTGGATCGTCATATATATCTCTTATTCACGTAAACCTATGAAGATGGTCAATGAAAAATTTATAGTTAAATGCAATGTATATATTTAATTCAATTTTATGAGGTCTCAATCATGTAATTAGTCTTATTTCACTAATATTACCTTATAGACAATATTTGTTTTGTATTTTTGTTGTCATCTAACCAGATGTGATTTGCATGTATATTCTACATAAAATTGTTTAGATGTCATTTGAACATTTGAAGAGAACAACTACATTTTATATATTCAAATACTTTCACTTTTGTTGTGAGTTTTTAAAAAAAAAAAGAACTCGGAACATTTTAAAATAATATATTATGAAGTTAGAAGATCTCATTAACTTGATAATACATTTGTGACATATATAATACTTTAATTTAAATAGAAATACTTACCCAAATATAGATATATATTTGCATTAATGAAAATATGTATCTCATAAAATTAGCTATCAAATAAATAATAAAAATTAAACTACTACAAACTTCAACTGGCGTTATTGAACTTTTCTTCATTCAAAATACTGAAATATTAAGAAATGGTAAATAACTAAAACAAAAGGGCACTGTTTATATAGTAATAACTATTTTGAAGCAAACTTCCTGAGAGTCTAAATCACATAAGTAGAATTAATAAAATCATTCTTTTGTCTTGAGCATAAAAAATAAATCGTGACCATTCTCTAAATTTTGGAAAAAATATCCAGAAGCATATAACTGCATCAAAAGAGAAATTGTTAACAAAAACAAATAAATTTAGACTGCATCATGTTAACTTCATATATTGGAACATTACAAACTAATATAAATATTAAGCAAAAAATAATTATTATATCATCAAAATTATATTATTTTCCTCAAGTACTCGAGGTTATGGAATATACCCTCTTAGGATAGAACGACTTACTTCATCAGAATAGTGGTACCTCATATTCCGCTAAACTTCGAACTCACTCAACGACAATAAATTATACAAAAAAATTTAAAATGCAAGAAGAAGAAGAATAGAAGATTAGAAAAAATTGTTGTTGAAAAATGAGAGGAACCCTCAATTTAAAATCAACAAAGGGTAGTATGTACAAGTATTTTTTGTGTCTTATCTTAAAAATCATGACCTTTTCGAGAAGTCACAACACTTTGGAAAAGTCACAACTCTTTGGAAAAGTCACAACTATTGAAAAAGTTACAACTATCTTGAAAAGTCACAACTCATCGAAAAATCACAGCCTTTTGAAAAAAGTCACAACTTATCGGAAAAGTCACAACTTATCGAAAAAGACACAACTTAAGTTAGGGATATTATAGTAATTTAACATTCAAGTTAGGAGTTCATGCTTTTAAGGTAATATAGATTCTGTAATAGTCTCTATTTAATTATAGAATACATTCTTTGTTAGGCATAGCGTATGGCTACTTATACACATGGGACATTGTTCCTTGTCCTCAAAATGACCGTCCAATTGGATGTAAATGGGTTTATTCAATTAAACTTCATTTTGATGGAACTCTTGATCAGTACAAAGCTCGATTGGTGGTCCTTGGCAACAAACAGGAGTATGGTGTAGACTATGAGGAGACTTTTGTACCTGTAGCATAAATGACTAAGGTGCGAACTATTATTGCCATAATAGCATCACAAAATTGGCCTCTTCATCAAATGGATGTCAAGAATGCTTTTCTTCATGGTGATCTCAAAGAAGATATTTATATGAAAACCCCACCTGGTTTGTTCTCATCAGCTACAACAAATGTATGCAAGTTGAAACAGTCTTTATATGGATTAAAACAAGCTCCAAGAGCTTGGTTTGACAAGTTTCAGTCTACTTTGCTTCTATTCTCTTTTGAGCAGAGCAAATATGATTCATCTTTGTTTCTTCGAAAAACAACTACAGGTTGTATTGTTCTTTTCGTATATGTAGAGGACATTATTATTACAAGAACTGATTCTTCACTAATCACTAGCCTCTAGTAACAACTTATGGATTCTTTTCATATGAAAGATCTTGGTAATCTTACATGATTTTTGGGGTTAGAAGTTCATTATAATTCTTTAGGTGTGTTCTTGAACCAACGAAAATATACTCAGGACTTGATTGCTTTGGCTGGTCTTCAAGAATCTTCCTCTGTAAATACTCCATTGGAATTGAATGTAAAGTATTGTCGTGCAGAAGGAAATTTTCTTCCTGATCCAACTTTGTATAGGCAATTTGTTGGGAGCCTAAATTATCTTACTATTGCTCGGCGTTATATCTCTTTTGCAGTTCAACAATTGAGTCAATTTATGCAGGCTCAACACCATCTACATTTGGTGGCTGTCCAACATATCATTCAATATCTCTTGGGAACATCTACTCGTGGATTATTCTTTCCTAGTGGTTCTGAGATTCAGTTTAATGCATTTAGTGATTCTGATTGGGCTGGATTTCCTGCTACTCGTCACTCCGTCACGTGTTGGTGCATGTTTCTTGGAGATTCCTTGATATCTTAGAAGGACAAGAAGAAAGATTGTGTATCAAAGTCTTCCACCGAATCTGAATACCGAGCATTGTCTATGGCTTGCTCTAAGAGTATTTGGCTTCGTGGTTTACTTGCAGAAATTGGATTTGCTCAGTCTAATCCCACTCCTCTCCATGCTGACAACACAAGTGCTATACATATTGCTACTAATCAAGTTTATCATGAAAGGACCAAACACATTGAAGTGGACTGACATTATATCAGAGAAACTCTAGATAAGAGAGTCATTACTCTTCCACAGGTATCCAGTGATCTTCAAATAGCTGATGTGTTTACAAAGTCTATGGCACGACAACGTCATCAGTTTCTAGTAGGCAAATTGATGCTTTTTGATCCACCGACATTAATTTGAGGGGGAATGTTAGCATGATTGGACATATTCTAAATATCTGTACATATCTATGTTATAACTCTAAATATTTGTGTAATGATGATATGAGATAGCATAGATTAATGTATCATGTTTTCGAAGATATTAAAATTAGGAATAGCATATATTTACGGATATATAGCAGATTTTTAGGCATGCAAATTAGAATTCTTTCTATTTAATGGAAGAACTCTCATTTTAGAGCACTAATTCAGCAAAAGTGACAACCATATGACTAGGTACTCTATATGATACTCAAATATTACAATATATGGTGTTGAAAGGCTTGTTGCATATATTATAGCGAGAAGGAAAAGGCATTTTGGTTTGCCTTGTTAGTGGGAAAACATTACATGGTTGAACATCATGCCAGTTACTCTTAAACTTCAAAGAAGAAATTTGCCTCAACACTCTAGTAGGAGCATGTCCAAGCCTTCTATGCCAGGTGTCCATATTTGCAAAATTGCCTACTTTATCACTGTTAATCATATTTGTTGTTATTAAATGAGATTTATTCTCCTTTTTCTTTATGGGAAACAACATATTGTATAAACCATCAAACATTGAAGATCCTATATAACATAGAGACCAGGAAAGAAAGTGACAACACACTTTAAATCTCTAGTCAATTCAAATACTGACAGGAGGTTATGTGTAAAATTAGTAATGCATAATACATCGTTTAGAGTGTGATCATTGTCTAACCTTCATCTTCCTACACAAGTTATGTCTAGTGAATTCCCATTTGGAAAAAAACCTCTCATAATATTCTCATCAGTTATATGATAAAATCAATCCAATATGGCGTTATTGTAAACCATATGATTAGTGTCCCCTGAATTTACTATCCACTTTCTAAAGGCTGCACTATTGGTATCCATAAAGAGTTGAGTCATACTTGACATGTGCTTGTCTGAATCAGTTGGTACTTCTTTGTGAATATCTTTTATCCTGGCCGGAGGACAACTTACCAAGCGTATAATATTCCCTCACTCTTGGCGCCAATGAGGTTCTTATTTGAGAGATAAAAAGAAGACTATGCCTTCTCCATGTGAATGCTTAGTCATAATAGCATGGCACTTCGAATTCGATATGAGAAATTTTTGTACTGTTTTATTTTCAAAACATTAGATACTCTATCGAGAGAGTATGTAAGAGATAAAGGGTATCTTTAAAATCTAATCGTATTGTTCCAGAGTGAACATCATGCCACCTCCTTGGTTGGGACTTTGGGATGGTTGATCAATTTCATGTGACATAAACCCTCACAAATATGCTTTTTTAATAGTCTGGATACTCTCAATCTATCAAGAACATATTCTAAATAAGTATATGAGTCTATTGATAAACCTATTATTGTACTTTCATTATGAACTTAAAATGTAAACCCCAAGCCTGCAAGATTAGAGCCATAATTTTATTTTAAAATTAGTTATTGATCACATAGGAGTCACAACTATGAAATTTAATCAAAATCCAAGCTCGAACCAGGCATCGAATTATCAAAACATCACTCCTCAATTTTAGGTTCAGAAATCCTAATTTCTAACACCCAAATGTGAATTAAATCACGATTTGAACAATATAATCAAGGGGAAATACCAAATTAAAAGTTATATTCTTAATCTGAGATAAAATGACCAATTCCTCCTTGTAAATCACCAAAATCGAGCTACCAAACTCAAAAAATCTTATAATGAAGTCTATGTTCAAATTGGAGATTTATTTCATCCAGGTCTTAATTGCTTTTTGCGAATGTAGATCACAACTGTGAACGTGATCAAGTGATATGATCTAACCCCTCACAATCATGACTGGACAATCATAAATGAGATTCTTCATCTTGAATTGACAAACTTTATCCTTCATGAATGTGACACAAACCTCATGAATGCATAGGAGTCCTACAATTAATTTTCACAAATGCGATATATCTAGCCCTTGCGGGCATGGAGAAGATGACCAATTATACGAACAATTGGTGCATCAGCTATGAGAAATTCTCTATTTTACCCATCAAACTAATCTAGAAAACCAAATATGCAAATAAATCATAAAATATATTACAGTTGTGTTGAAACATCACATCACCAATTTGAAGTTGTCTACCAAATGTTGATCATTGCCAATTCTAAGCATTATCTTTTACTTTTTAGTAATGTATCATTTCAAATAGTGTATTCATATTTAAAAATTTATATTTAACTTCTAATCACTCTTCTAGTAATTGGTATTTTCCCCATTTACATGAAATCTATGTTATGACTTGTTATCGCTATTTCATTTATTTCCGTATGATTAATTGATTTTAATATTTCGAAAAAACAATTGACTTATCTAACAGAGGGTTAGTGAATTGTCATTACAATTCTTCAGATTTTTTATCTATAAATTACGTCTAAATATGTAATTTCATGTATTAAGCATTGAAAAATAAGGATCCAACTTGATCATGAAATATTACCAAATATATGTAATTAAATAATATATGATAATCTGATGTCAAATAACCAATTTAAATAAGATGGTCAATGTAATAAATATATTCAAAGTTAAGTTGAATGACCGTCAAAACTAAGATTATTTATTCAAGAAGTCTTAGTTTTATTAAGTAGAAACTATTTTAAAGAGAGAAAAGTTATCTACATTTAAAATGGGGGATTCTGAAATTAATTTCTTGAAACAAATATTTTCTCCATGGAACCCATATATTATATTTGTTTTTGACAAAACATTAGTGTGTTTTATATAAATTCTTCTAGATGGTTTATAAAGTTTTGTGTGTATCTCTGAAAAATAATAAATAAAAGGAATCCTTATTATTCATAAATATTTTAGAAATGATTTTCTATATTTAATTTAAGATCTACATTGAAGAGGTACCAATTGTTGGCAGTTATAGTTTATGGACTAATGCTTAGTTGTTGCATTTGTTTAGGAGTCAAATAAGTTGTTTCTTAGTCTTTAGGAATTAGGAATAATGGAGTCAGTTTTTAGCTTCAAATTTTCTAGGAGATTAAACATGCTATTTTTTTAAATTAGTTTATCATCTATTTAAGACTCTTGCAACAAAGTGTTTTGCGAAGCTTCAATAAAAATAAAACTTCCGCACTTGATGACTCTTTTCTTCTTAATTTACCGCTGTTGATTTCTGTCATTTGGTATCTGAGCCGGAAGTTTTTTTTCTTTTTAGGATTACTATTTTGCAGCAGTAAAAGATGGCTTCTGAAAGTTTTTTTCAAGCCTCTATTCCGCGCTTCGATGGTCATTACGACCATTGGAGCATGTTGATGGAGAACTTCCTTAGGTCCAAAGAATTTTGGCTAGTTGTCAGTATTGGCGTGCAAGAACCAACTATTGGTAATGCCTCATCGGAAGCACAAAAGGCAGAGTTGGATAGTCTAAGGTTAAAGGATCTCAAAGCGAAGAATTACCTTTTAGTGAACCTGAACCAACCAACACACACTCATAATACCCAACAATCATAGTTTTTTTCAACATCTCCATCTCACAACCCAAATTCGCATGAGCTTAAGTTATAAAAATTTGATCTTTAGACATCAGATACTCATCGAGGGATATGCCCAAGCATACAAACCCTCTAACAACACTATCGAAAAGCTAGATTTAGTAGTTGTGATTGTAGATTACTCTTAAGAACAATAGAATTGGACTCAATGATCCCCACATTTAACCACACATAACTAATACATGATCTCGACAACAAGATGAATATTAAGATTGTCAGACAACCATAAATACGCATTGGTAGCTGTTCTATAAATTCTCATAAGGAAGGTGGTACATGTAGAACCACCGAAATACTTTAACAACTCCAAGACAACACCAAATATGTCATATGAAATAACCAAGTGTTCCCAATTATCCCACTCAACCAAAAGAACATGACAGGATTGGTACATCTGAGGCGATTGATCGCTCAATACTGGAAACCATTCTTTGCAAAGATACTTCTAAACAATTATGGGATTCCATGAAGAAGAAGTATCAAGGAAAAGCGAAGGCAAAACAAGTGCAGCTTCAAGCACTCCGTGGTGAGATCAAGGCTCTGCGTATGCAAATTGGTGAATCGGTAACAAATTATTTCTCTAGGACATTGTCTATCGCAAATAAAATGTGAATTCATGGTGAAAGACTGGAGGATGTTACCGTTGTTGAGAAAATACTTCGCTCAATGACGACAAAGTTTAACTATACTATTTGCTCAATTGAACAATCCATAGACATTGGCACTCTTTCTATTGACGAGTTGTAGGGCTCCTTGTTGGTTCATGAGCAGAAAATAAATCTGCAAGACAAGGATAAAGTAGCATTGAAGGCAGTGTCATCTTCAAAAAGAACAAATCAGGTGAAATCCAAATGGAAAGGACAATATTCACACCACTAAAAGGAGAAGAGTAGTTCTGGCGATTCTTTGGAAAAGGAAAAGAGACGAGATAAGTCTCAAGTTGAATGTTATCGATGCCACAGATTTGGACACTATGGATCTGAGTGTCATACCAATTTAAATACGAATCGTAGCGGCATATCTAACTTTGTAGAGACAAAGGAAGACGGGGAAACCAAGGAAGAAGAAGAGGAAGTTTCACTTTTGATGGCATATATTTCCTACGAGAACGTTTCCACTCATTTATGGTATCTCCATACCGGCTACAGTAATCACATGTGTGGGCAGAAAGAGGTATTCTCAGTTTGGATGAATGTTGTCAAGAAACTGCGAGATTTGGAGATAATTCAATGGTCTCTACCATGGGTAAAGGGAAGGTACAAGTCTCAACAAAAAACAACTCAATTCATACCAT